AGGAGTAGGAGTAGAGTAGGAGTAGGAGTAGGAGTCAAGCTAGCCAGCTCGAGCGAGTCAAGCATGGCATGCCCAGTCCCACCCGCCCTCCCACAACATAAGAAGCAAAGCTGGCACAACTGGGGCCGAAGTCACACCGGCCAGCCGGTTTGGTACAGCTGATGCGGCCGCGATGGCGGTTGCCGACGGGAACTGGCGAGCGCGTGTTGAATGCCGCGCACGCATTGCCAGACGAGTCGAGAATGGCCCGGTACACCGCAGGAAGCCAGAGGTGGCCGGAGGAAGCCCGACGGTCTGACAGGACACCCCAAAGCATTTTTGTGAAAAAGCATTGGGTTTTTGATGTTTTTATGTTGAAATGCTTGCAAACACACGGTGTTCGGTAGGATTCTGAAATGAACGCGCGAGTGTGCTCTTTGTGGTATTTTTTGCACAGGATTCGCGGCCTGGGTGCATGACAGAGCATCGCGAGTGCACCGCGCGATGACGTGAAATCGCTGGATTTGACCGAATTCTTAAGATCCTATGGTTTTCCTATGATTTCAGCAAGAGAGCCCGGGCGGGAAATTTGTACAATTTTTGTGAAAAAGCATTGGGTTTTTGATGTTTTTATGTTGAAATGCTTGCAAACACACGGTGTTCGGTAGGATTCTGACATGAACGCGCGCGTGTGCTCTTTGTGGTATTTTTTGCAATGGATTATCGCCGTGGACGACAGGACGTCCATGTCGAGAGGAAAAAATAAGAAAAATGTTGATTTTGTATTGTTTTTTACAGGTTAGGATGGGACCACCCGGATGCGGCCCCTATCGGCCGGCCTGAGGGGGGAGTAGGAGTATATTCTAATAAGGAATAAGGATAGGAGGAGGAGGAGGAGGAGGAGGAGGAGGAGGAGCACGGGAAAGAGAGACGATGAGAGGAGGAAGGAGGATGAAGGAGGAAGAAGGAGTAGGAGGAGGGAGCAGAAATGCTTTCTGAAAATCTTAAATCGCGGCGGGGGGGCGATCACGAATTGAAGCCTTGATCGGCTACATAGAGGTGCGTCGCGCAAGTTAGTGGCAGTTGTTGGGCAGGGCACGTGTTTGTTCCTTCCAAGGGAGTAGTTTACATGATTACTCGTTGTTTCTTATTCGCTTGTCGGATGGAGCCAGTATCTATTCTGATATTTTTCCGTTTGTCGGTTGAAGAGACGTTCAAGTGTTGTCATGGTAGGGTTTGGTCGTTTCTCTTGCGGTGTAGGCTTGATGTGCCGAGACCCCCTTAACAGGAGCTTCTGTGTCAGCCTCGAATTGGGGGCCTCTGTTGCGTGTGCATGATTCGTTTTTATGTTCAATACGAATGGCGATGCTCTAGGATGCACGCCGCTGCGCGAGCGCTGAGGGCTTGCGGCAGAGGGCACCAGCG